ACTGAAATTTTCCTGAAAGTGATTCAAGTGTGAAGGTAGGCTCTATACCTTTTATCAAAGCACCCTTTGAAAAATCAAGCGAAATCTACATTGGGAAACCTAGAAAATGGCAGTTACCCAACTGCACTGAAAAGAAAAGTCCCTTCTTTTAAGAGAATTAAAAGCTAAAAAATGCATAGAAAACCCATCCACCACAGAAAGTAAATTGGCTTCCTATACCCTCAAAGTATAGGAAGTACCTATCACTCACCAGACAGTTGTTTTTAGAAGTCTCACTATATCTTCTAAGAGCTGCAATGTGTATTAATCAACAAAAAGAAACTAATAAGGCTGCAGGCCAGAGCTCAGCATGAATCAAAGAAGCTGCCTCTTAAAACTGGATAAATAGTGCAGATGGTAGCTTCACCCGGAGTTGGCACTCACAAACAACAGTCATGCACACAAGTACACATAGGACGTTTTATGTAGGAAATGCAGGGTTACAGCTTAATGTATATCAAAATGAGAAAAAAAGATCTCAGTCTGGCTTCCTCAATCTCTGCTGTTGAATCGTATCTCCTGCAAAAGGAAACTCACATTTTCTACAGAATCAAGTCCTGTCTCTGAATCCTAATTTTACCACTTATTAGCCATGTGGATGGAGAGTTGGAGAGTGCCTAGCTCTGTACCAAGAACACAGAAGGTGTTCAAGATATGTTTCAGAACACATTGTGAGAATGCTTTTACTTATTTTAATGGCGGGCTTTTTTGTTCCCACCTGGATTTTTATCTTGATTAAAAAAAAGAGGCACAAATTCCCTTGCTCACTTTCTTTAGCACAAGAAAAACATGGCTGTGGAATCCATGGGACGATTCCCCTATCTTTGGGCATTCTGAGTTTTAGAATAGGAGAGGAAGAAATGGTACTACACTTGAACCTGGCTTTCTCAGAGCCCAGAGCTGACCTGCCATTTGCTGCACATCCATGGACTTCAGAAAGGCAGACCTCTTGGATTTTGGAGGTTGGTGTCTGGTGTCTGTGTACTTGTCTTGTGCAATGTCTGAAGTGCTGGGAACTGGAGGGAAAAAGTCTTCCAACCAGTCAGGTTGGTGGAGAGTGCTGGATGCTGGCACTACAGAGGGAGACCCACTGGAGATTCTCTGTTCAAAGCTGCAAGAAGCAATTTACTTGTCCAATAGAATTTGTGAATTCTTTCTAGAAAGGTCAGTAAAGGGTAAAGGCTGTGAGTTGTATTTCCTGTGTTTAGTTACTAAAAATGTGGGAAAGAATGTTCACCTACATTCAAGTTGAGCCATCCCCTCTCCTCCACGGCCACTGTGGAAACACAGAACCTCAATATATGGGATCAAGTCGTATTTCAATATCCTTGGAAAGTGTGAAATGTGTTACACTAGAAGGGTAAATCCCTAGCTGGATTTTAAACATAATATTATGAAAGGCAGAATTTGGAAATTATTAATACTTCATCTGTTTTGTAATTTCATTGAGTTTCATTTAATTTATCACACAATTTTATATGTGAAAGAATATCTGGAACTTACATTAAGCAACACAGCATAAAAAGATAAGCATCTGTGAAACTACCCTTCTAAATAAACAGACATTTTAATCTTCCTCACATTGTCTTAAGAGTTTTTCTGTCTCCTCTTTGCCTCTTCCTGCTGACCCCACTAAGACTTATTCTCAATTCTGTTTCTGAGAATTTTAAAGTTTTACCCCATACATGTATGAAGCCCAAATGTTTAGTTTTGCTTACTGTTGGGCCTTAAAAATCAGTATCATGCTGCATGTTTCTAAGATTTATTCATGTTGTTGCTTATAGCTTAAAGTAACTAGTTTTCATGGCTGCATAATATTTCATTGCCTATATATTATTTATCTACTATCTTTCAACATATATTTGGATTGCTTCCAGTTTTTTGCTGATAAGAACATTTTTTGTATATGTTTCCTGTTGTTTTCCAAAATTCTGGTACCAATTTATACTGCTGTCAGCAAAACAAGACTTTTGTTGCTCCACATACCTCACCAATGTAAGTATGACTTCCTGATTTTTGCTAATTGAATGTGTGCAAAACAAAACACTGCCTTGGTCTTGGTCTAGTTTCCTTATTAGTCAAGCATATTTTCCTGTTTATAAACCATTCATGTTGACTCTCCTGTGAAATATCTGATCATATCTTTCCCCTGTTTTAGTCTTCATTGATTTATAGAAATACTTTATATGATCTTGGACACCCAGCCTTTTTTGTCAGCTAAAGTTGCAAGTATCATCCTCCTGTCTGTGGCTTGTCCCTCTCACCCCCCCACCCACCACTTGCTTTATAGTGACTATTTATTTAGGACTAAGGTTCTACTTGGCCTCAAGATTCAAAAAGACAAAAAAATTGGAGGCAGACCAAGAACCGAGAAGACATCCTTAATCCTTCTCTTTCCCTTAACGAGCACATCAGCAAATCCTGTCACCTCCATCCAAATAACACCCCAAATCTGACCACTTCTCACCATTTCCATCGACCACGCTGATCTCTCCCTAGACACTTGATTGCTATCTGATGTTCACTATGTCGTCCCTACAGCCGTTTTCCCAAACAGTAGCCAAAATAAACTTCATAAAACTCAAGCTGGATCATGCTGCCCTTCTGCTTAAAGTGACTCCGATGGTGTCCACTTTGCTTAGATTGAAATCCAGACTCTTAGAGCTGGGCATGGTGGTGTGTACCTGTAGTTCTAGCTACTTGGCAGGCCGAGGTGGAAGGATCACTTATGTTCAGGAGTTTGGGGCTGTGATGAGCTACTACTGTGCCACTGCACTTCAGCCTGGGTGACACAGTGAAACCCTGTGTCAAAAAAACCCTAACAATTGAAACTCTCTTCCCCAGCCCACGAGGCCCTTCGTGATCTGGCCCCTGCCTGTCTCTTGGCCTCTGCCTCCTACCTTTCTTTCTGTATTCACTCTGCTTTAACCATGCTGCCTTGTTTTCCATCCCTGAAATAGGCCAAACTCATGTCTACCCTGGGTTTCTGTACTTGCTATGTGTTCTGCCTAGAATGCTCAGATCCCAGTTATTTGAATGCCTGTGACTTCTCATCATTCAAGTGTCAGTTCAGATATCACCTCTTTGGAGGACAGTACCAAATAAATACCTCCCCAGCTTTGCTACCCCTTTCCAGTGGTTTTTCTTCACAGCACGCATCACTATATAAACTCATCGTCTATTTTTTGTTCATGTTTATTCTCTGTCTTCCTCCACCAGAATGTAAGTTCCAAGAGGCAACTTACTATACTTGTGAAAGATATTTTACCTTTCCTAGGATTTCTAAGGAAAAAATGGGAAAACAGAAAAGGGGGATTCTGGGAATCTGGCAGTGGTGGCGGCAGTGGTCATATAGTTGTTTAACCTCTTCAAACCTCTACATAAAAAAGGCAAACTGACTATGCAACAAAACCTCAAATATGTGCAATAGTTACGACAAAACCAGGTGAACAATAAACCCCCAAATGCAAGCAGGCAAGTATAAACTACCACCAAACCGGCTGTGTGTTGCTATTTGTACTGACAGACCTCAGAAAAAGTAAACCTCAAAACATTGGCCAGGCGTGGCAGCTCACACCTATAATACCAGCACTTTAGGAGGCCGAGGCAGGTGGCTCACTTGACAAGGTCAGAAGTTTAAGGCCAGCCTGGCCAACATGGTGAAACCCTCTCTCTACAAAAAATCCAAAAATTAGCCAGGCATGGTGGTGTGCACCTATAGTCCCAGCTATTCAGAAGGCTTAGGCAGGAGAATCGCTTGAACCTGGGAGGTAGAGGTTGCAGTGAGCCGAGATTATACCACTGCGCTCCAGCCTGGCGACAGAGTAAGACTCTGTCTCAAAAAAAAAAAAAAAAAAAAAAGGAAAAAAAGCCATCAGCGACTTGCAGAAAGTTCAGTGAGCCAATCTGAGAACAGCTGCTACAAGTGGAAGTGTTTTGGCCTTTGCAACAGCAGGTGAATATGAGGGGCCTGTGGTAAGAAGGACTGAAGGGGATCGAGCCATCCAGCCCCTGCAAACCCTAGGAGTTCCTAGGAACTCCTGAGAAAACAAATCAGGACCTCCTTCCAGGACAGGGGTCCACAATGGAGAGAAATTGCTGTGAAGGGAACCAAGACTGAGCAGAACAGAGACAAGAAAGAGAGGACGGGAAGTGGAGGTCTAGATCAAAGTGGGGGAAGGAAATGCACAAAACCCCAGAAAGCAGCTGTCACATTACCGACCACCACCAAAAACAACAGAAGAGCTGCTAACTCTTTTAAGTCAGAAAAGCTTTCTTGAACTTCATCTCATTCTAAAGTCAGAAAATCTAATTTCACATAAAAATGAACAACAACAACAACAAAACACTGAAATCAAATTCCACACAAGGTTATTATAGGAAAAATAAAAAGATATAGAGTAACACCCCGTTCACAATGACAGCATGCCTGAAAGGTATCTCCACAAAACAGATTAAAACTACAGCCTACAGTGTCAAAATGAGCTAAAGACACTAAGAAAATGGCCCAAAGCATGAAAAACCAACATAAATCTGAATTATAAAAATCTAAAAATGAGGGGACAGAACTCAGGAAAGTCCAGGCACGGTGGCTCATGCCTGTAATCCCAGTACTTTCGGAGGCCGGGGCAGGTGGATCATGAGGTCAGGAGTTCGAGACGAGCCTGACCAAGATGGTAAAACCCCATCGCTACTAAAAACACAAAAATTAGCTGGAAGCGGTGGCGGGTGCCTGCAATCCCAGCTATTTGGGAGGCTGAGGCAGGAGAATCACCTGAACCTACAAGGCGGAGGTTGCAGTGAGCTGAGATCGTGCCTTTGCACTCTAGCCTGGGTGACAGAGTAAGATTCCCTCTAAAAATCATCATCATCATCAACAACAACAACAACTTGCCAGGCGTGGTGGCTCACGCCTGTAATCTTAGCACTTTGGGAGGCCGAGGGAGGAGGTGGTCAGGGGTTCAAGACCAGCCTGGCCAACATGGTGAAACCTTATCTTTAAAAAACAACTCAGGAAAAGATCAGAAATAGAAACTCTTTTCAGAAATGAGAACTAAACTAGATGGAATATAAGAACCAGTCAATTCAAAAGACAATGCCTTAACAAAAACAAAAGAAAACCAGAAAACTTCAATATTCAAAAATACAGCAAAAAGAATCAAATCTCAACAATATATTTTAAAACAGGTAAAAAATATTTTTAAAAAGGTGAAAAATATTGAAAATAGGCAAAGAAGATTGAATATATGACTAACTGGAGTGCCTGAAGAAGAAAAGCAAAGCAATAATCAAAACCAATGCTGATTCAAGAAAATTTTCCTGAAATTAAAAAAAAGAGGTATGAAATTGTGTATTTCAAATATGTTGAACGACCACATTGTATTCCTGTTCTACAGAACCAGAATGACTACCAAAGACAATCTAATAAAATTACTGAACTTTAAAGCAAACAACAACAACAATTCTTGGGCATGTAGCTAAAAAAAAAAAAGACGTATTAACAAAAGAAAATTGAGATTATCATTAGACTTTGACAGCAACACTTTGCCAGAAGAAAGTGAAGTAACACATTCAAGATACTCAAAATAGAATGTACGAGCCAGGGAACTTACATTCAGCGAAACTGACTTTCATGTTTAAAGGACAAAGAAAAGCGATGATCAACTTTTAACAACGGAGGGAATATTATTCCCAGGAACTTTCCTAGGGAATTTACCAGGGAGCAAGTGTCAGGCAATAAAGAATGACTCCAGAGACATCACCATTAGGACTGGTGGTAAGAGACAGTCACCCGAAGACTGAGAGGGAGAGAGTATCTTACGTAATGGCTGCATGCTCTAGCAATGTAAATACAGCCAAACTAGTCAAAAATAGGAGGAAAGAACATACAAAAAAATAGTTAAAAGGTCTTCTGTAATTATGCTCATGGTAGTATTTGTATCATTTTTGGAGAATATGAAACTAAATTAGTAATTCTGGAGTATTCTATTATTCCTTGTGCCCTTGAGAACCAGAATTTTCATGTGGGAGAAAGGAAATCCAAATGTAATAGAGAAGAGGTTAAGTAAAAGCTCTGTAGTCTTGAATTTTAATTGGAAGTATCAATATAAATGGCAAGAGATTTACATACATAAGCATGTTTCCTAGCTCTGTTCCCTGAAAAGGCCTAGAAACAATGGCCAACCCAGTAGCAATGAGTATCCTAAGCCAGGTTTTGGTCTTGAGATGTAATTTCTCACTGAAAGAAACCAGTGTTTCCTGAAGAAATGTCTGATGCCAGGTTTGGAGGCAGGAAACGTACAAGATGAGCCTGGAACCTTTTGTAGTATCAGATAGCAAGAGAGCTATCAAAGACTGCTAGGTTCATGTAGAAAAAAGTACTCAGGTGTGAACCTGAAGTATTTCTCACTGACCGAAGATGGGGGGTTTGGGGTTTAATAATTATTTTAATAATTAAATTAAACAAATTAAATAAAAAATAATTACAATGAACCAAGATGCATCAAACGAGTTTAAATTCACCAGGCAATTGTGTGTGTGTGTGTGTGTGTGTGTGTGTGTGTGTATGAATCTAAAGGTGACAACTCATATATATATGAGTTCACATACATATAGATATATGAGTTCATATATATATACACACACACATACAATATAATTGTCACCTTTGGAGGATGATAGGGAACAACAATTCATTATATTAAAAGTGGTAATTAAAGGGAGTCTAACATTTATTTTGCTTTGGCTTGTATGAACACTAACACTGGTAAATATTAAATGGGAGAAATTGTCTCTTTATAAAAATATTCCAACTAATAAATAAAAAATAAGTTATAAACTTAGAATATTACCATTTTTCAACTCCCAGTGAATAAATCGATATAGATATTAACCACATTGGCTACTAAGATCACTAAAAGAGACAAAACGAGACCTGGTATGTCTCCTGCAGTCTTGTAAAAGGGACTGAACCTCAGTCTATCCAATCTCTGGATCAACTGTCAACTAGCAAGAAATACAAGGGACAGAGGAACATGGTGAGCTGCACCAGGATTATGCCACCAGCAAAACTCACACACTGGGAAATCTCCACAGGCTTCATCAACAAATAAACTGTAAGTAAATGAACAGGGTGAAGGAGGAACCCGTAAGTTGAAAGAGAATTAAAAGTCGTATCTTTTTAAAACAGAAAAACTCACCTATAGTTTCTAGGCATAAACATTTGGGTAATAAAACTATTTTTTTAAAAAATGCAAGTGATTACCATGAAAGTCAAGGTAGTGGTTACTTATGGAGGAAAGGAAAGAGCTGGGATCAAAGGGAGCTCTAGGGTGGGTAGGAAAGTTCTGTTTCTTGTTTTAGAAAGTATTGGTCTTATAAAAATTCATTACATCAACCATTTGATTAAGGCAGTTTTCTTTATCTGTTTTATTTAAAAGCAAATAGATTTTTAAAGGTATAATGGTACCTATCTAGTGGGAAATAATGTAGATTGAATGCCAGCATTTCTTTTGAACAGTGTCAACATGATGAGGATTATTAGTATATTTTCCACTAAAAGACATACACTTTGAGAAAGAAAATCTAATATCGACTCAACTGTTTCCTCATAGGACAAAATGTAGAGAAAACTCAGCTATAAATTGAATGGTTACTTTGGTATATTTTAAAAACTAATATTAAGCTCTTATCAAGAGCCAGCTACCGTGCTGTATTACCTAAATTAATCTGCACACCAATCCTATGAGGCAGATTACATTTAGTCTGCCCATTTTATAGATGACAAAGCCGAAGCCAAGGAATTAAGTAACTTGCCCAAAATTACGTAAATAGAAAAGTGGTACCTGGAAGCCAGGTCTAGCTGACTCCTATAAGTAGATTCCATCTCCTTTCTTCAGTGCCTGCCACGGGGCCTGGTACAGAGTAGGTGCCAGCATTTTTTTAAAAAATAGAATTAGACTGTCATGCTGAGTCCTAAAGATCAGCAAACAGATATTAAGATGACATAAGCTACTCCCTGGAGCACCACTTTTTGGAAAAAGAGAAAAAAGAAGCGATGAGTTCCTTTGAGCCCAGCAGTCACAGAGACCCTCCTGTAGGACAGACTGGTCTCCTCAGCACTAGGGCTCGAGTCCAAGCTGGCAAGATGCTTTCTGCATCAAGATTAAATGTGTCTGGGAAACCAGAGAGACGAAAGAAACAGCTACATGCTGCTGACAGCAGGGAGTACAGGCAAAAATGTTTTCTGTACCCCAGGAATGCAAAGTCACCACCCTGACACATTGAATTATCAGCTTTATACTAAGAAGCAAGATGCTAGAGGAGTTCATGTTTCCTCCCTAGATGCTGGAAACCATCACCAAAGAGGATCAGAAGCAGCATGGGACCAGTGGAAAAACTGTGAGTTCTAGAGGCAGACAGACCTGGCTCTAATCCGACTCTTTCTTCTTGGCACCTACCTCCCCCAGGAGCTCTCTCTATCCTCTTCCCTAGCTTTCTTTCTCTGCATAACACTTATTACCATCAGACATATTATATGTTGATTTTCATCTTTGTTGACTATGTGTGTCTTCCTAAAGTAGAAGAGATTTGAGGACTGGGACTTAATTTTGTTCACTGCTGCAACTCCAAGCATCTAGAATGGTGCCTGGTTTAGCAGGGTCTCAGTAAACGTTTGAGCAAAGTTGTTGCATTAAGTTATTTAATTCTCTCTGCTTTAAGTTTCTTATTTAGCAAGTTGGGGATAATACTGTGTACATTTAACCAAGAAAATATACATAAAGGGCAAGAAGTACGAGTTAATAAGTACCAGGCTTTTCCCTCCTCTACCTCTTTTGCATAAACACTTATCAACCAAGGATAAAACTAATCAACTTGGGATAAAAGTTTCCCTTCAGAAAATAGATAATGACCTTTTCAGCCGTCAGCTGACTTGCTCAAGACAACCTCAAAACCTCCAGACCATTTTTATTGTGAAGACGAGAGTGAACATGCCTCGCAGTAGGAATATGAGCAAAGAAAGTCTCAAGCAACTGGCTTATGAATAATGCCAGTGAGCTGTGACTGATGGAAACAGGGTTGAGTGGAGACCTGCCAGGTCACATCACTAACAGGGACCAGCAAGCCAAACATAAAAAATCTCCAGTTAAAGTCTTTCCAAAAATCCTGCCACGCCTCCATGGAATGTGACTGCTGGTGAATTGGGCATTCACTGGATAAAAGTTTGCTGTGGAGGGCAGGAAAGATGCACAGAGGACGAGTACTTCCCATCTGCCATTGCATTTAATTCTGAAAACAGTGTCCTAAGGGTGGCCTTTTTTTCCCTAGTTAACAAATGAGAAACCTGCAGTTCGGGGAGGAGAGACGGCTTCCCAAAGTTCTGTAGCTCTTAAGTAAGTAGCTTTCCTGGAATCTCAACCTTCTTTAGCCTGTACCAAACTACAGTGCACACACAGTGCCTCTCCAACACTCAAATATTCCATCAAACACTTTGTGAGCTTTCCTCTACCTGTGTGCCCCCAGAAAGAGAATATATTAAGAAATTAGACATCTACTAGATAATAATTGCTAGCTAACAGAACTTCAGCAAATTCACTGAAATTTGGATGGTAGTCACTCAACATATGGGAATTTCTGACATTCCTGTTAGCTCCAGGCTAAGCCCATAAAGTTTTAAATACCTCGTTCTTATTTCATTATAAAACAGAAACCAGCCAGACACATGTCAAGGAAAGTCTGTGAAGGCATCGTTTAAGTAGAGATTCTCTTGCCTATTTTATAGTTGAGGTAATAGAGTTCAGAAAGGTATAGTAACTTGCGTAGAGTCACACAGCTTAGACAAGGCAGAGTCCAGGTTAGCATCAAGTCTAACTTCTACTCAAGGGGACTTTCACTTCACTACGCTATTTATTTGCCTGGAGAAGGGATTGGGGGTAGGTCACCAAATAGCCTTACTCTCTGGGATCTGGCAGTGCAGGTTCTCAGCCTGCTTGACCTGAGACTCACCCCCACTTTTCTGTTCTGCTCTCTACAGACGAGAGGGTGACCTTTGCACACCGAGTTCCCTGGGCTCCCAGATCAGCTGGTTTCCGCTTGGTTTGGCCCATGCAAGGCACCAGTAAGAGATTAGGAGGAGGAGAATGGAAGGCAAAAGCTTGAGTATCTCTTCACGCTCTCTCTGCTTGGGTGGGCTGTCTAGCTATGGTTCACCTCCTCCCTGACGCAAGCACCCACTGCACAGACCCACAGGGACCAGCTGTGGTCAAGCGACCCTGGCCTCTGGCCTCAGGAACACCACCTCTGCTGTTACTCATCTCTGGATTGCCTCCCTGTCTTCTTTTGAATCTCAGCTCCTCCATCTCGTGTGTGATCACTTCCTTGCATTACTTCCCCTCTGTTGTAAACATCTAAAGTCGTCTCTGTTGTCCTGCTTAGATCCTGACTGACACACTGATTAAGTTGCTGGACCTAGAGGACCAAGTAGCAGCCTGTGGTCCTGAGCTAGGAAAGCCGAATGATGGCTCGGCTCTGTGTCTCAAGACCACCTGTAGGCCCAAAACCTCTGTCTGGCCAGACAAGAAATGCTTTGGAAAAAGAATGTGCTTTTCTGTTTTTGAGATTCACAGCCACGGAACCGGTAAAATGAACACAGCTGGTATCTTAATTCCATGGTCTTAGAGCAAGAAAAATTAACCATCCACCATAGCTCTAGCAGTGCTTCCTAAACTGTTGTGAGGAGTACTAGGTGCAAGGAATGCTAATAGGTATTTTGTGGAAAGGGCCTTCTGAAAAATGCCGGGTCAAACAAAGTGAACTCGATTTCTCTATAGCTGGACTTAAGTAGTGTACACTGTTAATATATTTAAAAAGTAATAGTAGGTGTAAAATGCAACAATTCCAAATTTTATGGGATCAGAAAATATACCAACATCTTTGGTTCTAATATTTCAAGGAACAGGGTTCTGGAAATGCTGGCTTATGATATTAGTGCTGAATCCTGCAGTGGCCAACATGGTCTCTCAGGGCCTGGAAACTGACCTCTCCTCTGCTTGATCCTCAGCCACACCCCTTCTGCCTGTGCTCCAGCCACAGGAGCACTCACAGTACCCAACGATGCCACATGCCTTCAAGGCTGCTTGCCTCTGCTCATGCCACTTCCTGCCCCCTGCTCCTGGGGAGCTCCTATTCCTCCTGTGAGGCCTCATTCCAGACACATCCATCCCTGGGAAGCTTCGCCTCAGCAACCAGTCTGCAGTGATTAGCCCTGCATTTAAATGTCTACCAGCCTGTGCATTCTACTACAGCGCCCACCCCTTCCTGCAGCTCTCTGCTTCCTTTCCTCCTCTGCCTTTCACTGTCTTTGACAGTGGCCAGGTCTTATTTGTCAGTGTGTGCAAGTCAGTGCCTTGGCCCTGTCTGCAGTGAGGACCACTACTGCAAGATTTCAAATGCCTGTTCCATGTTCTCCTAATAAGGCTTGATTATAACATATTTACAATTCACTATAACTCAAAGTTCCATTGTTAATGCAATCACTGATAAATAAACCTTATATGAATGTGGCTACTTTTATTATGATGTCAATAATTTGATTTGTAAAATCCTAACATCAACTGAAAACCACCGTCAAGAAATGTGGATTAACACCTGCTGTGAGAAAGCTAGCCACTAGGTGTCAGCCCAGGAAAAGAGGAGGGAGGGCTCCACTTCCCAGCGATTTAGGTTTTCATCCAATTATCACTACAACTATCAAATATTTAAACAACAAAATATTAGGCAATTAGAATTATCTATTAAAGGAATGTTTTAAAAAATACATATAAAATTTTGACATTTTACCCTTGCAAAATAGTTTATAAATGGTGTTAGTTTAACCTGTATTTGTCAAGAAACACTTGTATAGATTAAAGAAATTGACTCCTAAGAGGCTACCAGCTCAGTTGTCTTCTGAAATGCCCTCAATCGCATGTAATATGAACCATATGGTGATCACCGCTGTGGAGTACGGTCAAGAAAAGAGCATGGTCACCAGAACCAGCAAGATGGAGGGGCCAATCCAGGCGCTGCCAGTTCTTAAAAAGTGACATAATCTTTCCTAGCCTCAGTTTCTCATCGACAAAATGGGGCTGTACCATGCTCTCGGTAGGGGACTGTAAAAAGGGAAATATATAAAAAGAGCATAGCATATAACAAATGCTGTTCTTTTCTTTAAGACTTCAGGTCTTAATGATTTATTTAGCAAAGCTGTTTCATAGCTCTGAAACAACTAAGGGCATTATAGTTAATAACTATGATAATTTCATTCAGTCAGATCCTACTGAGCACCTTCTATGTGTCAGGCTCTGTGTCAAGGATACATGAGTAAGGAGGACACTCCACTGCCTTCTAGAGAAGGCTTCAATTTTTTTGTGGAAGGGTAGTGTAAGACTGAATGTGATGTGGTCATACATTTCAGAGAATGTAACCACACCCCACAGAAAATCAGTGTAGATATATATCCAAGAACTGGGGACAGGAGGAAATCAACATAGCTGTATCCTCTAATCATCATAGACAGCATAATGTTATATACAGAACAAATCCACCATCCCTCCATCTTATGTTACTGAGCCTCGACCGTGTGCTGGGGGCATAAGAATAAGATCTGTTCTTAAGAAGCTCATAGTCTAGCTATGCATATGAAGTCACTTAGCACCATTTTCAGGCTGCAAATTGTCAAATGTTATCATTGCTTGAAAATGGATCAGAAAGGTTTCGTTTTCAGAGTCTCACTGAAAAAGTAAAAGAACCTAAAGTGACAACATCTGACTTTAAAACACCAAGTAGCAGGAACCATTTATCTTTGCCACTGCTTCCACAAAGAGTATTTAAAAATGCCATAGTGGCTTCAGCTTAATCCATGAGTATAGTCTTCTCTTGTGTGTTTCTAACTAGAAGAGAATATTTTCTGGACATGACAATTCTGGAGGCGATGATCCTCCCTAACTCTAAATGCCTGTGGTTAGCCACCATGCAGCTGCTGGGCTGTGCCTTCGCTTTACATTTACACATTTGTGATATGGTGTTTGTGTGGCTTATTCCTCTGGGGTTCTACAATAAAGTTGCAGCTGATACATTTTAAAACTAAGTATCTATATTATGCAACACTGAAACATGACCACCGGCCTTTCTAATGTATAGCATGGGGACACAGATATCAGTCATTCATTTGTTCATCCAGTCAACAAACATTTAATGAGCACCTACTAATATCAGATTATGTGAGGGACATCAACGTGTATAAAACATGGCCCCATGCTTTAAAGGAGCAAAGTAAGAAAGGAGCCAGGATTATTAAATGAGATCAAGTTAAAGCCTAGAATTCCTCCAGGATGGTGTATGATATAGTAGCTGTGTTTTATTTTTCAAGTATTTTAGAACATATGGGAATTTCATTTTGATCATATTCAGTGATGCTCTTTGAAATCATTCAGTTGAGATTGATCACAGTGTTTAAGTGGCTCTCCTGCCAGTTCCCATCTTCTCTCACTTAGAGAGCTACTTTTACTTGGGGAATCTACTTCTAGAACAATGGTTCCCGGTTCATTGATCATTTACTGTGAAACTCCAAGGTAACAAGACTCAAACTGGGTTCTGAGCAACATCAGCATCCCTGTGACATGGACAGTGGAGATTTGGTGCCAATATTGAACAATGGTCATCTTTTCTCAAGCGGCAACAAATGTTTTGATGAAATAAGTCTCAATTAGATTTTCTCTAATGCATTTAAAAAACTAATTTTTTAAATGACTCTAATTTTCAACTCTTGGTACCTACCACCCCTATTTGTCTATAAGTGCAGGTGAGCAATAAAATGAATGAGTAAATAACAAATATTAAAGGAAATAATTAAAGATGTGATTTATTTCAAATCCCTTATGTATCATTTGAGATTAAAAAAAAAAACATACTTCCACAATTCGTTCAAAAGGAAGGATTACGTGAGCCAGAATTTCAGTGTGTTTTGCATGGCTCCAGGTTCTTGGACACTTGTTGGACAAGTATGGACACCACTATTCTAGAATGTGGCAGTCTGATCTTCTTTCTATTCCTCCTTTACTTTGTCACCCAGGGATGGTCACTGTCATTTAGCTAACATCAACTATCAGCAAGGCACTATGTTGGTGTTCGATGCATATTATCGCTATTTTTCTCAACAGTCCTACTAGGTAGCCATTATTTATGTTTTACAAATGAGAAAAGTGAGGCTCAGGGCGGTAGAGTGACTTCCAGAGTCATCTTCTAGATGACAGAGCCAGAATTAAAACCCAGGTGATTCCAAAGGACATACTCTTTCCAACACATTTGGTGGCCTCCTTAGCCACTTAGAGCCACAGAGCTATAGTGATGGTCCCTGAAGTCCTGGGGCAGAAGCACCTCCCCTCATCCTTGATTAACTCCCAGGGCATGATCTTGACTTTGGATGACCATTAAAATGGGAAAAAAAATTAACTAGTAAGTTATCAGCCCCTTCTGCAGTCCACTTTACATTTCCCATCAATGCATCTGCTTTGCACAGGCCTGTAGGTTTTGGCTATAATTCCCTATGCATTTGTCTAAAGTATACTGGAAAGTAAAACAAATCTTTCACAAACTTTTCCTACAGATACTCCTGAGTCCATATTTATGCTTCCCAGAGACACCACTACCCACTTACCAAAAGCATGGGCTCTGTGAAAAACAGTTTGGATGGAGGTTCCTCAAATGTAGAATTACCAGATGACCCACAATTGCACTCCTAGGTATATAACCAAACAACTTGCAAGCAGGTGTTCAAACTGTTACTTATACACACATTCACAGCAGCATTATTCATGACAACCAACACACAGAAACAACCCAGGTGTCCACGAACAGATGAGTGGATAAAAAAATACGGTATATACAGATTGTGGAATATTATGCAGTCTTAAAGAGGGCTGAAGTTCTGACACAATGCTATAACATGGATGAACCTGGTAAACATGATACTAGACAAAGGACAAATACTGAATGATTCCACCTTTATGAACTATCTTAGAATAGGCAAATTCATAGAGACAGAAAGTAGACTAGAGGTTACTAACGGCTGGGGGTAAGGGAAATGAGAAGTTATTGCCTGATGGCTACAGATGTTCTGTTAGGAGTGATGAAAAATGTTCCAAACAGATGGTGGTGATGTTTGCACAACATTGTGAATGCCATTAATGCCACTGAACTGTATATTTAACCATGGTTAAAATAGCACATTTTATGTTGTATGTATTTTTTACCACATTTTTTCCCCTTAAAGCATGGGCTCTTTAGACAGACCTGGGTGTGATGGGGTGAGTCCTAGCTCTACCACTCCCCACCTGTGTGGAGGACGACAGAGCCTTGCTCAGACGCCCAGCTGCACACACACTAGTCCCTTCCAGGCGTCACGCGGTTTCCTCTTTCCCCTGGTTTCCTCGCTTCCTTATCTCTCATCTTGCTGTGCTGTACACAGTGTCTTAAGGTTCCTCAAAACTATTTTTAGCACAAGATGGAGGCAGAGACAAATTAGTCACATCCCTTATGTGTGTTCTGGGAATCCTCTGCTCATCTGCGTGGAGGGCAGGGAGTGCGCACCCTCCCACCCATCAAGGATTCTTGATTCTTTTTCCATCTTGAGCCACTTTGAGGCTGAGTCAACCAAAATCTGCTTCCCTGAAACGCTGTGACAAGTTGGCCCCCACAGTCAGGCTACTGCTCACAGACTAGCTCTCCCACTCAGAAGGCTCTGAAATATAGCATTTCAAAGCTTTACTCACAAAGATGGTTAGTGGAGTATTTCTTATAATATCAAAAGATTGGAAACAACCTAAATATCCAACAAGGGAGAGTGGCTACGGAAATTACGGTAGTTACACTTGATGGAATATTCTGCAGCTACGTAAAAATGCATATGGCATCTTGCTAAATGGGAGGAAAACTAACTTTTAACTGAGATTTGGTTGCAGCTATGAAAACCCTTTGCATAATGAAAAAATAAAGAGTAAATACAAAAGGCATCGGCAGGACTATGGTGCTGTTTTGATTTTACCACTTTAAAAATATTTTTCTATTTTCCATTATACCAAAAACAAATCAGAAAACAGTTTTTTTTTTCCCCCCAAAACAACATGAGATCAACAGGGTTACTCAACCAGGACACAGATATACGTAGTGTTTTTCCAGTCTGCTCCAACACAACCTGGTGCATTCATCCTTGAAAGCCAGGTTATCAATCTGCTTTTATCTTAACTTCTGCATCCTCAAGGGATTTTAGGTGGATAAACATGACACAGCAGAATCACATGCAAAATCATGGCTATAAGGTGGATGATGCCAGTGTACCCACAGCTGTATCTGGAAGTTGGCCTCTTGGGATGAACTAAGCAAGTGGGACCAGAGTGAGTTGGCCACTGCTTGTTTACTGCCCCCACCCAGAACTCGCTCCTGCAGGCAGTAGCTCTGTTCCCTTTATCCTGGGGGAAGCCCAGCTAGCAGGTTGGCCCAGAGAGGACCACACAATCTAGCTGAATAAATAGCTC